TATGACTGCATTTGTATTCAGATCAAGTTTACAAGCCAGGGGTTGCAAAGGTAATCTGCAGCAGAGCTCAGAATGGAGCCTGACAGCTTCACAGCCTTCTGAGCCTGAGCAAGTTTTGTACACTGGCAAATATGTTGGGCTACAGTGCCAGAATCTTTTACCCTTCTTACCTCTTGCTCGCTAGGGAGCTGGAAGTGCAGAAGCAGTTGTTGAATGTTCTGTACTGTAATGTCACACATCTCCGCAATACAGAATATTTATGCAAGGTTACTGTGGTAGATATAACTTGATTGTATTGTAGTTCAGTCCCTATCTGTTACAGCATTATACTTGTGAATCTGAATCTAAAGCCGAAATAATTATTTAACTTCCAACAGCTTCTCTGAAACCAGCAGCAGGATTTACATGTACAAAGGTGTCAGATTTCCTTCTACAACAGTTGTGGAGAATTCTTCTCTGCATTTATGAGCTTGACACTAGAAATCAATCTCATATGAGGCTGGCTAAGTTTTGCTGCTATTTTCCTGACTTTCCGTTGCTGACAAGAAACAGGGCTAGCATTTCCTTTAAAAGTAGTGTTTCTGCTTCAGGAAGAGAGATTTTCATATACTGTGTTGTATATCACTTATGGAATAACATTTATAGTTGCATATATCCTTGTGCTTTTGCCATTGAAAACTTACCTGAATCTGATCTTTAACACTGCTGACAAAGCTGATAGCACAGGCTATATTATATATTATTTCTGTGCAAAACTGTGTTTCAAGAGAGTTGCAAGTTTTCCAAGACTGTAATCATTTTGGCTGAAATCATCTATGCCAGCTATCTGCTTTTGTCTGAAGTCAAAACCCTGCAGGCAAGTGAAAAACAGTGTTTAGCCTTTCTGAAAAAAGGCATTTACAAAAATGAATGTTTTCTTATTCAAAGTGAAATGTTTTGATCTTTTCTTTGAACATGTATCTTTTACTGCTGTTAACAATATATGCCAAGTACTCCTCAATCACATAATCTATTGGAAGTTTGCCATTTGTCGATGCCTAACAGTAATTCTTCAGGAAGTCCTTTCCTGTCTGTCTCACTTCATTCTCTGAGCTTTTGTGTGGTTACGTACCTCAGCTTGGGGACTCTTTGGGTCTGGAGAACCACTGAGATGCAGAGGTGTAACTGGGGGAGATTAGACCAGGAAAGAGAAGTGGTTGGCTGGACTGGTCTGGATGCTCTGGTCAAGGAACCTAACAGGTCCCTAAAGGGACATGGGTTTGGTTTGGATGCTCTGAAAAAAGCACCAGCAAGACAGAAAGCCAGATACGGAGGGGATGAGGAACCTGCAGGAGACTATCACTGCAAGATAATGAGGCTGGGGAGGTGTAGGAAGGAAGGAAGAAGATGCTGAATAACAATGATCTCAGGGAAAAGTGAAATTAGGTATGTGAGGAAGCCAGGCAGATTAAATTGCAGGACAGGTTTGCTGAAGAGAAAAGATGACAGACAACACAGGTGTTGAGAGAATTGCAAAATCAGGAAGTGAGAAACTGTATGGTGATGTGCTAGGAAAACACATGTGAGGGTTGCTGAGCAGAAGCAGAACAAGGACAAGAGGCTGGGAGCTGAGACTGAGAAATGAGTTTCAGTCAAAAGACAAAGTCTGCGGGCACAGTGTGGAGGTCTGCAATGGGAACTGGGGGGTAAGGACTGGGAGCCAAGGGCTGAGATAGTCTCTGCCTCTTCTTGTTCAGGCTCTGGTTTGTACCATCATTCACGTGCTTAACTAAAACATTAAAAGCACTGCAAAATTAGTGTCATCAGTAAGCTCCTGTTATTGTTTTTCTTAATTGTAGTATTCTGTTTGACTGGAAAACATACCTTCTACAGTCCTTTGAGGTGGTGAAAATGCTTTCCAAACACTGAGTGTGTGATTTTGTCCAGTAGCTTTTTCTGCATTTTTTTGTTGTTTTCTTCTAAATTTTGCTCTACTGACCCATTCTTTCTGAGCAGGGATATAAACTGTTACGCTACTAATGATGGTTTCTTTGAAAGTTTTCCAATCTCCTTTT